ATTCGATATCAATACTAGATGACATTCGATATCAATACTAGATGACATTCGATATCAATTTGATATTAATACTAGATGGCATTCAATATCCCTACTATATGGTATATACTATATGGTATACATGCTGTTCAGGGTTATTGTGGAAATAGTGGCTATAGGTAATACAAACAGATAACAGTAAAAAAAAGTTTTGGCCGGTTTTGTACATTCAGTCCGCCGTAGTCAGAGTAGACCGGGCTAACTGATTGGCTGTCATCACCCCTATCCCTTACCTTGTCGCAACGACTCAACAAGATGAGACGCCAGCTCGATAGTTCCTCGGATGAAACAAGCAAGACGAAGATGGGTACTTCTGCCTGCCATCCAGCAACGCATAATGGAGAAAAGACGATTGTTCGGCCTACTGACAAACTCTTATCGGACATCATTTTCTATCCCGCGGTTCAGAATCAACACGCGCGGCCTCGCTGCTTCTCGCTGTCCCTCAGGCCCGCGCCTCTTCCCTACCTCGGGATGGGATCACATCGACCCCTCCATACCTATTGAAGAGGAGACAATTCCCACCTACAGACCTGAAAAGTTCTACCCTGTCCACATCGGTGAGGTGTTCAATCACCGATACCAGGTAGTTGGCAAGCTTGGCTATGGATCCAGCGCGACAGTGTGGCTGTGTCGAGACCTCTTGTAGGAGCAGCTCCTCCCTATTTACGGCAAAAATCTAACAGAGCAGGGAGCAACATTACGTGACACTAAAGGTTTATACAGCCTCATCATCAGTAAATCGCGAGATCGAAATCTACAAGCATCTAGGCACTGTCCAGTCCGACCACGCCGGTCAGTCATGCTTGAGACCGTTGATTGATGTCTTCCAGACTCCGCAATCAGAGGGCCATAGTGTCCATACTTGTCTGGTACATCCTCCTCTTGGGATCAGTCTCGACCAGCTGGCACCGCTGCTCCCAGGCGGGGTCATGAGTAGTGCCATGGTGAGAACTACTATCCGGAATATCCTTGCCGCTCTGGATTTTCTTCACACGGAGGCAGGGGTTGTACATACCGGTTGGTATTTTCATTCCATTCAAGAAGCTTCGCGGCGAAGAACGAGCTAAACCTTAGAAATTGATGACTAGATCTCCAGCCAAATAATGTTCTTCTTGGTATCAAGGATGAATCCATACTGTCCAAATTTGAGACAGCGGAATTGGAAGCTCCTGTGCCGCGGAAGACCCTTGAAGTTCGTACCATTTACATTTCACGACCACTTCCTATATCCTATGGGACCCCAGTTCTCTGTGATTTGGGCGAGGCTCGGCTGGGAACTGACGAGCAACAAGGCGATATCATGCCGGATATCTACCGGGCACCTGAAGTCATCTTGAACATGACTTGGGACTATAAAGTTGACATTTGGAATGTGGGGATGGTGGTAAGATAATCATTCATGCAGTCGCCTTCTGCCACATCATGGAACTGACAGTGCTCCAAGATATGGGATCTATTTGAGCATGGCCACCTTTTTAGGGCTCGGAATCCTGAAGGAAAGTTGGACGATGGCTACCATCTCGCCGAGATGCAGGCGGTCCTGGGAGATCCGCCTCTTGAATTCCTCGCTCGAAGTGAAAAGAGCCTCGAGTTCTGGGATAAAAATGGTTTGTGCAGCATTTCCCTCCAGAACGTAGATATAACCTGGCACTGTTATTAACTTATGAATTTAGGCAAATGGAAAGGCGCAGCTCCCGTCCCGGACTATGGTCTGGATACTCTGGAAGAACGACTCCAAGGTGACGAAAAAGATGATTTTCTACGTTTCCTCCGCCGAATGCTGTGTTGGCAACCAGAGGACAGGGCCACTGCAAACGAACTCCTGTTTGATCCTTGGTTAATGCATGGTTTGTTTAAGTGAAGAGATTGTGATGCAATGATCCGAGTAATCTCTACGACACAATCTAAGATACACTCAAACTCAGCAATAGCAGAAGTTACGCAGGTTGCTTGTGATGAAGTATGTCTGTAGAGGAGCCTCGCGCTGTGTAGCATGCCTCTGAGCTATTATTAATGTCCATGATGGATATAGACAATCTTAACAGCGGAGGAAGTACGAGGCGCTATATGGGATCTGGATTAAGTGCTTGACGGTCAATACATATATTTTATCTTCACCTAGGTACTTCCTTCGTAAATGGAACAAGCATATAAATGCACATAAATATGTTGTTGTGAAATTTGGATGGCTTTGACACTGTATTTATTTATTTAACTCTTTTGGGTGGGCCACGACCCCTATACTCCTATACTGTCCTCAATGGCAAATACACATATTGCTACTTGAGGATTCACATTTCACAGGAGAATGAGAGTCTATTTGCTTTCCTTTGGATGTTTGCTATGGTTAGACGTCTTGACCACCATAAAATGAGCTAGCTGACCAACTCAGCATCTCACCCACACTAGCCATGCACCTCCACTTCTCGGTCGAATTGTCAGCTCTGCCCGAGCCATTCACCTGAACACAGTCTAATATCACCACATAATGTACACACTGGAGCTTCAACCTGAGAGGGAGGCAAAAAGTAGCTGCAAGCCATAGCATAATCCAATCCGATCACAATGGCTCAGCAACCATCTCGTCACACCGTGGAATGGATCAAGCAGCAGCAGGCCGAAGCGGGGGTCGCTGCCCGAAAGGCGCGTAAGCCACGGCCAAAACTACCGATCTGGCTGGATGACTTTCCGCGAAACGATTCAGACACATTCGACAGAATCCCTGAGCGAGTTCCATTACCTGAGTCTCGCGATGGATCGTCCACGGCCAGTGACCCTGGAGAAAGAGATGGAAATGCAGCGAGGCCATCCCTGGAGGCGATTGATCGCGACGATACCTTCATCCAGCCTTGGTCTATTCCATTGCCGCCATCACCGCCGCCGTCACCAGGACCGCAGCGAGCACAACGGCCGGCGGCCAAAGAACTGAAAAGGGAAAAACGTCCACCGCGTGAACCCTACTATCGCGTTCTGGACCGCGCAGAAAACGTATTCGACCACATCAAGCACGGCAATATCCGCAAGTTTCCGCGCGTGGAGAGCACCTCCATCATACTGTACGAGTACTACGACGATGACACCGCGACGAGGGTGGAGATTGAGACCGCTCGAATGATCCCTGACTTCCACGGCATGCGGGAGGGATTGAAAGGGCGCGTGTTTCTCGTTGAGGATCTGTCCAAGGAAACTATCGATGCCTTGGGGGAGACGTTTGGGATTACTCCCGAGTTCTTCGAGGAGCACCTGTTGAACTCGGGCTACGGTGGCGCGCAGTATGATGATCCACCGGCGAGGTCATGGAAGACGGCTAGGCTGAACAAGTCGTATGTGTCGATCCAGTGGTTTCGGCCCGTGTATCGTCGTCCACCGTTATTTTCCAAACGCGACCGGGAAGAGCTGCTTGATTTGCAGGGTGATGGGTTAGAGTATATCTCCGGCAATTCAAGCATTAGTCTCAAAGCCGAGACGAATATATTTCGCTCCGAGTGGGATCTGCGCGTTGATCCGCGCGGAACGTCACAGGAGATGAGCGAGTTTGGGTTGGTAGAACGGGCGTCGATTTGGAGAAAGCAGGCTAAGAATATGGAGTATGAAACTGGTGAGCGATTACGGCCCCTGAAGTTGATATCCGGAAAGACTGACTGGAATTGGAGTTATCGTGTTGCTTGATCCTCTACCGACGATCAGCGTCAGCCACGATCTGACACTTCGGATCCCGAAAATGACTATGGTCGAACCTGGCGATCGTGATGATCGTGATGATCATCATGGTACAGGAAATAACGATGGAATAGGAACTAGACCAGTGCTGATAATCGAGGGCGATGGCACGGCCGAGGGTTTTGCGATTCCGATCGAGAACCCACGGCGAGAGGAGACACCGCGTCCGGTATTGGACTGGCTGCTCAGGCGACGCAGACCAGAAGTTGATAGGAGGAAGGTGAACGTAAAGACGAGCTTCCAGGTTTTAGTCAAGCAGATGGCTCCCCGAAAGGCCATTACAATTGATCTGGAGAAGGCCCTTCTGACAGGCGATGCGCTGAGCACGCTCCAGGAGGAACTCAGCGAGACGAGGTCCACTCGGCAGGCAGTGGAAGATATACCTGGGGAACATACGGCGCCCGTAAATGTACTAGATATCTTGTTTGAGATCATTGGCCAAGACACCTCAACCTTGCTCCGGGTGCTCAACCAGATCCTAAGCGACATGGAGGTCGATATTCTCGACGACACGAAGATGGAAGATCGACTGGCATTATGGCGGCAGCTCATCAGTAAAGCTGAGCGAGAGCTGTTGGAACTCAAAACATCAACCAAGAGCTTTGTGGCTTTCTTTGGTTTCGCATTTCCAGCCGATACAGCTGCAGCAACGTCCGACGACAACCCAGGCATTATAAGAAACGTGGCAGATCTCTTCCGGGAGATCGATCAGATGCTCACCAGACTCCGGCACGCGTCTTCGTCCTTGACATCCAATATGGGTCTCCTGGACAGTCGACGCTCCATCGACGAAGCGCACGCCGTCACGCGCCTCACCGAGCTGGCATTTCTCTTCATTCCGCTATCGTTTTCAGCATCTATTTTTGGGATGCAGATCGAACCATTTAAAGACTCGGCCCCGCTGTGGAACTTCTTCGTTGTTGCCATTACCGTGACCACGTTCGCATACCTAATGCGACTCACAATGCGCAGTCAATGGCTGGGAAATCTGAAGCAGAGCGTGAAGCAGGATGTTAGACGCTACGCGGAGCAACACGGTCTTCCGGTGCAAGTACGGTCTCTGTCGATGCTGTTACTCTTGCAATGGTTCGGGAGCGCACTTGAGCGGAGCATCAAAGCAACCTGGTCCTGGATAGGCAGGAAGGGCCGTAGGGCTGGGATCGAGTTATGGAGGGTGGTCGGGTTCCCAGTCAGTTTCACCCTGCTTATCGGCACTGCTGCAGTAGCACCTATCGCCGTGCTCTGGACCCGTGATATCGACCGAGGTGTGCAGGGCGCAGTTACCTTTGTAATCATACTTGCCCTCCTAGGCCTTGTGGGTGTACCCTACTGGCGAAGGTCCGATCCCAAATTTCGCTCTGCTTTCCCGAGACTCGTTACGCGCCTGCTGAGGCGTATTCCCGCAACAACGCGCTCGTTGCTTCTCTGGGTCCTTGGAATAGCAGCCTTTGTCGCAATACCGCTAGCATTGATCTGGACACGACCACTGGCGTCGGGTATTAAAGCCGGCCTGACTGCAGCCATCCTGGTTATTTTGCTGCCCTTTGTCGTATTTCTTGGATTGAGGGTCTTATTTTCTAGGTCTAGGACTGTATCTTCCGATACAGGGGAGAGTTACGCTTCTGCTTCGTATTCGTATGCTTCGCATGCTTCGTATGCGACTTCCCTCTCTGAAGAGGCAGTCATACAGCCCACGAGCAGCCACTCTCAGCGTAGCCATAATCCTTCATAGCCTGGGAAACGTCCCGTCTTATAGTGCTCTTGTTCTCAATTCCCTCAGCTCAAATACATATCAAAATATCTAAACCCGAAAGTCCTAGTCGTCCTCAGTCAACTTGGCAAGCATTCGAATACTCAGGATCATAATCAGCAATGCCAGGGCAATAATTCCCAAGCAGACCACAGCAGCCCATCCAAGAATCATCGCCGCCGTGCCCACCTGGCCCTCGATGGCCCCATAGGTGAGACTTTCGGACATGGTCCCCGCAGCACTACTATTAACATGCTGCCAGAGAATGGAGACCAAACCGAACATAAACCCCAGCGCACTCAAACCCAGTGTAGCCTGCATCACCGTCTGGGAAGGGAAGGGCTTGACTTCGCGGTCCGACCCATTCTCGTCGATTTCTTCGTGCCATCCTGGGAATGTCGCCAGGAGAATAAAGCACAGGAAGGTCAAGACAACAGCGATGAATCTGTTCATCTTAGCTTCACACTCTAGGCCTATAAAACGTCCCTACGTAGACAAGCGATAACTATGGGAAGACGAATACCGCAACTTACATCAACCCATCAAAAACTATCTTCTCTTTGAAATTCTGCGCAATCCAAATTAGATTCAGCGGGTCAGCAGCGCCAGTGTCGTTGCTCTGTATCCCCTCCGCCTTGACCATACTAGCCAGCGCCGCCGCACTGCCAGAACACAGTCGCGCGCCGTTGCTGAGGGTCAAACAGAGACCCATGTACCCTGCGCGCACTTCCCGAATCGTGCTATTGCCGTGCGAGACATTGTATACTTTTTCTGCAATGCCTGGGTTTACCAGCACGGGATCATCAGAGACCGAGGCGCTGGCATTTCTGTACTGCAGGGAAACCAAATACACATTGCTCAGGCCGTTGGAGGAGGTGCATCCGGCGAGAAGAATAGCTGGGATTGTGAGTAAAGCATTCAGGAATTAAACAAACAGTGCACTGAGTCTTACATAGAAGGATGATTGTAATTGAACAGACGACCATTATAACATGGTGGTACCCGATCATGGGAATCCATCCTGAACTCTCTGTCAGCCTGACCCCGCACACAGGATGTCTTGTGAAGACTAAGGTAGTCTCATACTATAAAAGATGACGGTTTGGAATCTCATTTTATGGGATGGTTCAGGTGATGGATGCAGCAGAGAGGTATCTCGTGTATTCGACCATTTATTGATACATAGATTATAGAATAAAGGGATAAAGTGCGAAAGTGAAGCAGGACGGGTGACACTTCATCAAGCCGCTTAGTTATATGTGCTTTTTCTTCTCTAGTTTAGCTACATTAGCTGAGAGTCAGCAATAAGGAGGGGTTGGATCCAATTTTCCCAGGAGCTAAGCAGCTGTCACCCCAATCATTGTCCTCCAATAATTCTTGTTATAGCCATAAATCATACTCTTGTCAACTTAATCTTGACAGTTCCGACGCCTTAGGCCTAGGACTTACCTTTTAGCAAAGCAAGGCTAGCCCCGGAAAGTCTGGGGAGGCTGATATACGGATTTAAGGATTTAATTAGTATATTTTAAACTAATTAATTCTACATTACTCCAGCTAAAAGGCTCACTGCGACTTGGTCAGAAACATTCCTTTGCCTAAGTCCGCAATCATAGGGCCTAACATACCTACACTTTTCCGGCTGGGACGAGACTAAATCTCAAGATCGACTTGGGAACTACCTAGCCTCCATTGTTGCTGTGTAGACCTGATGCAAGGCTGAAGATCAATAAAGTACTACAGACTGATTGGCCAGACCCAACAATACTCCTAGAAAACAAAGTCCAATCATCTGGCTGTTGGTGAAAGTCCCAGAAAGGAAAGGAGAGCCAGCTCCGATGAAAGCCGCGATGAGAGCCACCTGAAATCGCAACAGTCCCTGTAAATCCAATTGTATTGATGTGGTTACATTGGAACCATTTTTCGAACCCTCTTTAGATCACCTGTCCAAGAATTAACCTTTGATGAGAAGCTGACTATAGTGCGGACATGCTCGCCATAATCCCCAGTATGCTTCACAGCACATTCTATTTAACTAACACTGATATGTACCCTTAGATGATGTACTGGAGAATAAGCATACTGCATAATATTGTGATATTGATACTGTAGCCACCACTATCATCCTATTCAGTGTACACTAAATGACCATGAATGATTCTCAGTCGTCCTCAGACAGTACTGTATCTGATTGTGCATTCACTTCAACCCATCACGCTCCCTTGCTTGATGCTGTGTAAGGTGTGGCACTATCAGAGCTGGCGTAGAATCTTGTTATTTATCTATAATTGTGGTCAATTACATCACAGAATAGTGGATTATTCAAGAGTGTACTTACGAGCTGCACAATATCTTGATCCGCTCTCAGCCCAGTTATTACAGCCCTCTTTGACACACCTGATGGCAGGACTTGGCATTTTGATGGTTGATGAGGATGGATTAATATTTATAGTGAGACAATTTTGTAAAGAGGAAATTTGCAGATGTGGTTATCGCACAGGGAAGTGACGAAGTGGACTGACTGTCTCTTGAGGGGGTAGAGTCAGAACCTTTATACTTCTCTTTGGGACGGACAACAAGCTAAAATCAGAGTTTGGAGAATGGGGTGACACTGTCTAGTGAATTAGCTACTAGGAAGCATTCCAAGAGGGACGTGCGGCTGCTAATGCATGGTCATCACATCTTTTAATGGATGGGCACTAGTGGTATGCTCTACTATACTTTCCCTATGATAAAATCTGGCGTAACTACTTGTTGACATATTCCTATTTGTTTATTGATGTTCTCATGTGGGGATGGGATAAGGTCACATGATAAACGCGTAGATTCCAAACAGTCTATGCTTTCTATCCCTTAGTCCTTACCTTGTATCACAGCTAACCAACTGCAGAGACGCCTGCCATGGCCATGTGGAATTGTGATTTTGAAAACTGCAGCAACCCATTTGTTCGCACATATGGGCAATGCATCATTTGTGATCGCCATCTCTGCGCCCAACATCTTAGCTCAAAATATCATAGCTGCCCTAGTTGGGAAGTGAGTAAAATATGGTCCTCATTACACGAAGTATTATTTAACTGTTGGTTATTAGGATGAGCGGCTATACGACCCTATCGCTCAAAAAGCAGAGCAGAAGGAGATCACAAGACTGTTGAACAAAATCAACATCCCAGCACTCCTCGCTCAAGCAAGCCATTTGCGCAACGGTGTTCCCTGCTCTTTACCGCAGCCACTTCAGTATGATCATGCAAAGCGTACCTCGGTGATGGGCGGCATGAATTATCATATCGAAATCCAGTTTGAAGACGGAATCAGCTGGCTGGCGCGCATTCGAAGATTCAATGCCACGTCACCGCCGCCAGATCTTCGACGCTACATTATGCGAAGCGAAGTCGCAACGCTTCAGTTTCTAAGCAAGACAAACATTCCATCTCCGAGAGTACTTGATTATAACTTTGAGCAAGCGAATCCTACCGGCGTCGAGTATATCCTTATGGAGAAATTGCCTGGGAAGTCGTTACGGTGGTCTCTGACAAGTCCAGAACAGAGGAAGAAGATTATCAGCCAGCTAGCAGACATTTACATCGAACTCAAAGCATTTCCATTTGACTCCATGGGCTCTCTAGACCAGCCCGGCACTGATCACGTGGGGCCTTTTGCAAGGGAATCGTTGACGGACTATGTGGACTCACAGATGCGACCTCTTGGTCCCTTCATCTCTCGCGAAGAATATGTCGTCTCAAGCATACAATTAACCCTAGATCTCATCATCAGGGGAGAGGCATATGCTGATCGAGCAATTGATGCATTCCTGATCCATCGCTTCCTCTTGGATGCTGTTTCCCACATTGTACCTGCTAAAGCTGAAACCACCCAGTTCTATTTGAAGCATGCGGATGACAAAGGTGACCATATCCTCGTTGACGATGATTCCAATATAACAGGGGTTGTCGACTGGGAATGGGCACATACGGATTCGAAAGCTGCAGCTTTCAATTCCCCCATTTTGCTTCTTCCTGTTGCTGATTTCTATGATGGGATCAACCACCCCGGGGAGGACGAACTGGCATTGGCGCAATCATTTGAGGATAAAGGTCATCTTGATCTTGCCGAAGCTGTGAGAAACGGGCGGATCCTTCACCGTTTTGAATTCTGCTGTGGGTATGACCTTGCTGATTGGAAGGGGTTCCTCGGCCTCTTCCAGGGCCTCCGGAAAGCCATCAATGTCGATGGGGACTTGGAATGGGATGCTTGGAAAGAGAAGACTCTTGAGACATACAAGAATGATGCTCTCCTCAACAAGTTGATAAAGCAGGATCCTGCCGGCCTAGTGTTAGCAGAAGTATCCTAGTGATCGTCTTTTCACGTGCGATATAAGTAGGGCTTCCTACAAATCTAGCTCATATATGACCACAAGGCGTGGAAAATAGGGCTTCCAGTCTGCTTAGCCATACTTAAGCCAGTGTTATTAACCCGGCCAGAAGCTAAATGCGCCCTTAAATGCCTGCTGCTTTAGGGGGTGAGAGCCACTAAACCATAGTGTGAGTATAGGTGAGTGCAGGTGAGTAAAGGTGAGCTCTGAACATTCATGGATTGGCAACGTGGAGACCGCATTCACCAGGATTGGAAGACTGTGGGCTTCATTAGCTGTTGCCAGTTGCCACTGGAACATGTTTCTTGCCTAGCTGAGGGAGGCCGTCTTTACCACTGCGAAGGGCTGACCTGCGAAACCAACTGCATCTAATTAGGCAAGAAGGGCACCTATAGTAAGGTAATGGACCTCGGTGACCATTTAAGAAAGTTTATTAGGAAGCTTCACATACATTGTCAATAACTTTAGTTATGGTTAGGAGACTGAACATGCTGTGGTACTCTTTCTCCACACACACGGTAATAAATTTCTAGTTTTTAATTTTAGGAGCTCACTTCCTGAAACATTATATGTCTTAGACCACACCTCATTACCAGAGTGATCACCATGATGGGCTGAATTCAGCAAGGGCCTCAACACCCTTTTTGCACTTGGTTAACTCTTGATAGTCCAACGTACAAGGCACCTCTTGGCCATCTCTGATAACAATGGCTCAGAATCTAGCCAACTTCAAAGGCCCTTGTATATGGTATGGGTGATACCTATCACAGATCCTTCGGAATACAACTTTGAAAGTCAGCCATAAGGTGCCCTTTCCAGTCCATGCAGAGACTATTTCCTACCTAATTGCTGGCGAAGCTGCAGCCGCTTGCTTAGGCTCTGGAATACAAATTTAGCAGCTATAGAGCACAGGAACTATGCGCTAAATCTCCGCCTTCTCAGATTAGCCTTTATCTGACCTGATTTGGGTAAGACTGATATTATACCATGATGCGTATGGGCATGCTCCCTCAATGCCCTAAAAGGCCCTATGCAGGATGTGATAATATCAATAATAGCCATCTCGATTCCTAGCCCGGTAAAGGCAAATCACCATGTGTAATATGTGAGGGAGGCGCTGAGCCCACAGAGTATCTCATTGACTTTATAGGTACTTCATTGCGTTATGTTATGTATCTCCATTATCCCTAGCAGCCCACCCAACCCCCAGGTGCATCTAATCGCCATATTTTGAAGCTATCACTTAGAACGATGCATTTCCTTCGTAGACTGGAGAGTGAGTCACACATAGGAATTAACTGGTTGATAGGTACCGGCCGTATCACATCAGTGCCAGCGGCGTTACATGTCTACTCCGCAATACTGACTAGTTAAATATCAGAAGTCTCCGGTATGGGATGTATTCGCATGATTTAGGGCTTTTAGAAATTGTACCTCCAGTAAAGTATGACCAGCTGAGAAGACAAAATTTATCCATGGGTGGACTAACCATGGTTGATTCCGGGTGGATCCACGCATGATACGTTCGACGGGTGAACAAAATGGGACTAATAAATGTGATGTGGCTGATTGCTATCGCCAATGTACTATGTTATAAATATCTGCAGATATTTGTGCCCTGTTTCAATAGCGCCGGAAAATCACAACCTAGAAAGGAAAAGTGAGGGGAATAGATTCTCTCAAGCAATGGGGCGCAATTATTCTGAATCATCTAGATAATGGGTGTCTGGACGCGGCCAATGGTATAGGTGTATTTCCCTTCCCGCAGGGGAATCTAAATCCGCTACACGTTCCAATTGGCGGTAGGAATTTATTACTCTTGACACCACGGCCAACTCGTACAGTAAGCAAATCTGAAATTTAATTTTTCGGTTGGAAATAGGTAATTTATGGTATAGTTAGTGGTGCCAACCGATTTTCGCTCCGTTCGTATAGTCCAAGTGACGCACCAGTGCAAAGTGATGTTGTCCACAAGAAAAGTGGTGTCAAGCAGAGAAACTGGCGAGTAGAAACAGTTTCGTCCATGCAATGGACATGTAAGCAGCTCTCTGGGCAATCTATCGGGGATTTACAACTTCTTTAACTGGAGAAAAAATATCTATATAAAGGCGTCACAATGAGCTCGAACTTTTCCATCGCGACGCCCTTGCTCTAAAACATTCTATCAACAGCTCCTATTCACTGTCCATCTTCAGTCCCCGCCCAGTTTAGTCATTCAGAGCAAAACCACCATGGCATGTGGCTGTGAGCGACGCATCACCCGCAAGATATACCAGCATTGCACTGCTACCCCGAAACACGAAATAATGGAGTACGCAATGGTTCAATGTAGTAAGCCAGGTGGCAGCACATGCACAGGATACAGAGATGTATACCTCGCAACGTCGATGGTCCGAGTTCCTGGTCATATATGCCCAAAATGTTAATCTTGATCGAGGTATGCTAGGATAATTTCTTCTGGTGATAATCCCACACTAACCATTTTAGATGGCAGCCAAGCCTTCCCTGGCACCTGAATCGCGCCCGGAAGCTGCAAATTTCGTTCGGTACACATTCCTTGCTATCCCTTACACCGATGCCTAGAAAATTATTTTAGTGTGATTCGGTGTATATAAGCTGATTGGTCAGAATATTAATACAAAAGGTAAAATACACTAATTTCTACCTTATGACCAATTGGCTTAGATGCACAGAATCACACTAAAATAATTTTCTAGGCATCGGTGTAAGGGATACTGTGTGGGGTTCTCTGCGTCATGTTAGGACACAACTTCACTGTTCGCAGTTTGCAATGATATTGGGCCATTCGCTGTATCTAAAACATCTCTCGTTACCGAAGCTGTCTCTCTGTGATATTGGTATCAGCCTTGATATAGGTTTTCCCTATTAGATTAGGTTTCCCTATGCTGGTTATGCGAATGCGAAGGCTGTTTCAGTTGCTATAATTATTTGGGGTCACCAAATGTCGCCATTATAGAACTCAGTCAATTATCTCAGGTATATTGCGAATCGGTCTTGTCCGGATATGCGACAGATATGGCCTTCGGCGTTCAAGTAAAAGTGCCAAGACAAATCGGATTTAACCTTTCCAGGTTGGGCTTTCTTGGCAGCTGAGGCCCAAATGGGCACCCGGGTCGGAAGCCCACGTCTTTGCTCTGGAAATCACCTTCTCTTCTGTCCTACCAGAGGGACCACCTTTCTCCTATTGATTCTTCGTCGCGTTCCCATTCAGAGCCTTTCTCATCCCATCATCCTTGCCCCGCCCCCAGAATGCTGCACGAGGCCGAAATTGTGGTATACCAGCAGTACTCTCCCCCTGAAGTCCAGCGGGTGATTGCGTCAGGAAGCAGTGCGTTCATTGGAGAAGTCGACGCATCCACTGTTTTGAAATATCCTCTCGCCCATGGTGGAGACATGAGCCGGCTTGAAGTGGAAAGGAAGCTTCTCGAGGTCGTGGGACACCATCGACGGATCATAGGATTGAAGAGGTTCTCGAATAGCGGGCTTTACTTGGAGCGTGCTATAAATGGAAATTTGGCTGACTATATCCTCGAATCGGTCGACTCCCCGCCGTCACTCCAGCAGAGGTTATCCTGGTGCCAGGAGGCAGCTGAGGCAGTTGCATGGATCCATAGTAGGGGAGTACTTCATTGCGACATTCAGCCCGCAAACTTCCTTCTCGATGAGGAGTTCCATCTCAAACTGTCTGACTTCCAAGGGAAGCACTTATCAGAGAATGGCACTGTGCTCCTCGATGGAGGCAGCGGCGAACCTTGCAGATTCTATTGCCCCCGAGAGGATCCGTTTGAGGCAGACACAAAAACAGATCTCTTTGCATTGGGTTGCACTATCTACTTTATCATGATGGGCCACCCTGTGTTTCCCGACATTGTTGATGGGGAAGACGGATGGTATGAAAAGGTCAACGATAGGTTTGCGAAGCAGCAGTTCCCACAGGATGTACATGTTTGCAGTGAAATTACTCTCAAATGCTGGCTCAAAGAATATGAATCTGCCAGTGACTTAGTTCAAGACCTCGAGTCTGTCAGAATGGCTTTGTCAGACACTGGATGTACATAACTTGGCTGGAAGGCTCGCTTACATCAGGTTGTCGCAGAATAAACTGGCTAGCCTCTCTGGGATATCCATAAAATGCCTATGATCTTCCCTCTTAGTCGTTATTAGTTACCTACAAATTAACTTGCAGACCTCGTACTCGACCGATACAAAGAGGGTCGGACTGGTTAGATGAAAGGAACGTGGGCCCAAAACTAGTACTATGGAATGTTTGTTGTCTGAGCGGAAAGCACAGGAGCGTTTCTTTCCACAAGTTCCAAGTCAGAGGGAAAGGGGTGAAAGGAAAATGATTCTGGTCTCGATCATGCTTCAGCGAAGGATATCTTGGTTACCTTTTTCCACAGGAGCAAAACTGAGAGTAGTCAGCCCATTTCCAAGTCAAAAAGGTGCCAGGTAACTTTCCGTCACGCCAATTAGATGGCATGGTTTAGCGCGTAGGGAGGGTTAAGGGCCAACCAGCATTTTCGGAGTCAAATGAGACTACTCCTCAAGCAGGTGGCACTATTTTGTGCGGCTGGTTGACGTTGATGTTAGTTGAGGGGTGGTCTAGAGGAGTTACAGAACTTCCATTGATCGCTTCAAAATTCAACTTTAATCAGCTGGCAGTTTCAAATGTCTTGTTTCTCAAAATGTCTACAGAGATTATGTTCATTGATGCACTTGACAAATCTACGCCAGCTACAATCCTTCGCTCCGAGGTAAGCCATGTCTTTACTGGACGCGCTGGAGTGAACTAATTCACTTGCAGCCACTGCGGTCGGCTTTCAGGTCATTCCTAGAGCGTGGCACAGAGAAAGAACTTCAACAGCTTTTTGATTTACACAAACCAAGTATATGCCATGGAAGGAGTGCTCCGGCCAGCTATCAATCAAACTGGACTAGACGTGAGCCTGATTTGCTTCCTAAACAACCGCGAAGTTCCCATAACGAGACAAGTCTACCTATCAGGACCCCTTTTGATCCCTCGTTGAAGTCGACAGTACAAGTACCGTCAAACCGCGGAAGACTCCAAAAATCGAGATTATTGTTGTCAATACCTCAGTCACAACCTATCGGACATTTAGAACAACTGGGTGCATACGTATGCGCCTGTGGTATGAGTGATTACCACAGAAAGTGCCTCATCAATGCGGCTGCAGCCTACGTTGCTCCCAGTATTAGCCCGGAAGATCTGAACAGTATCTGGAATCTCGGCGGCGCCATCTTCGGAGGAGGTGAGGCGAAAACAAGATTCAGTCGACTATATGACGGCCAGAAACGCGTCCAGGAGAAAAGCAACACTATTGCCTTTTTATCGCGTACAGTTTCTGTCCTTCTACGAAATGATATTGACGACAGGGCGAACATGGTAGAAAAGCGTTCTCTTAGCAAAGGACGCGGGAGACTGAGCGTGGCTTTGGAGCAACTAGCACAGGAAATTCCTACGACAAAAGAGAAAATATCTGGAGAGTACACTCGATCAGCATTACTTTACAGGCTCATCGAAAAATGTGGGCTTGGCGACCTTGCCACACTTGGTGCTGACAATAACCATATGTATGTCAGGCATAATGAAGCAAAACTGTCACTAACGTCGTTTTATAGTTGGCAGAAAGACCTCTCGATCCGTGACGTGGACTTCCTAATATCTTTCAGGAGAAAGAATTATCCTAGGGCGGAGAAAATTGCACGGCAATTGGACTTCCCAGTCGCGTCGTTGATGATCGAAGCACTGACAACCTGTGGTTGGGGATATGATGAATTGGCCACCGGCAACACACAATTCTTGCAACATTTACGGTGTATTGTGGCTGCGGATAGCCTGGCCAAAGGGTACATTGAGAAGGCTATAAACCATAATAATGATCCAGTGTCTGGAAGTGAAGGACGGAGACCTCTTTGTAATGAGCTAATGATACTGGGCCAACAAACTGCGTCCAGCTATGCCCGTGGTAAGGCTTATGTGATGAGTGATATATGTGTAAACTGACGGCTATGCCTCCAGAACCTGCTCAGCCTGGGGGAGATCAAGAAGGCTATCTGATGGCTTTGATAGTTGATGGGAAGATTGAACACGCTTCATCAGAACGCAGATGCCGGAAAAGGCCGCCCTCTGACTTTTATAATAAGTCTAAATGTCTCTAAAAGGAAGCTACACCTGAAATTTCTCAGTCTATACCCATGCCACATGGCTAAATTGCTAATGCAGACTCATCCCTGAATGAGGGCTCCGGCATACCTTTGGATGACTAATACCAGGCTGATTTTTCCAGTCCCACTATCACCCAATACTGGAAAGATTAATCCAATCAGGTTTCATCTCATCCCTTTCTAATGACAGATCCTCCCGCGGCCGCGCCGCTGAGTCTCAGATCTTCATTTTACTCTTTTCCAACCTCTTGGGGTAACTTTGGCGAAAAGCACTATGCCATGGTGTCAGATCGCCTCAGTATTCATGACCAGGATGACTTTGAAACTGCTGCTATGTTTGTCCAATGTTCATCCTGTGCTGCTGAGGACTTTTCTTCTGGTAATTTGGCTACACCAGGTGAATAGTCTGGGACGAGTGATTCCGCACTGGCTCAAGGCATGGTTACTGAGCTAAGATATGTTCCTGCATTAGAACCATTTGCAGAAGCTATCCGTGCTACTCCACATCTGGGGGAAACCCAGGTGGCTATTGATTTAGCTGTTAGATCCACCCCGTTATTCCGCATGCCTGAAGAGAATGATACGAGCTCTTGGAGCGACTTGACTTATGGGGCGACTTATGTTGGGCAAGTTAATGATGGTCATTGTTATCAACTTCCTGAGAATTCCGATGCGTCTGCATGGAGTAACTTTGTCAACTATTGTTTGCCCTGAGTGGAGGATGAATATGCTTGGGCAGCCTGGAATATATATGTTTTACCACAGAGTACAGACTTGACTGCTTGGGGTGCTCATTGACGTGGCGACCAACTGGTATTATAGTAATGTACAGGAATATGACTGGCTTCCGTGCAAGGTTGCATTTTTCAAATAAGTTGTAATCAGTTCAACAGGATAAAAAAAGCCAAGCCTCCTCCTTACTTCTTAAACTTCATATCCTTATCTCCTGAATGCACTGCGAAGCCCCCACAGGGAATCTGACTGATATTGGAGGGCAAGCCATTCTGATCGTTCAAATCCTTGAGGGCAATAATAACAAGGATCTTGCTGGGAAACAGGGTATGTAAAACACTGGTTGTGAGAGGCTGATCAGCCCAGATAATAGGATATGCATCTGATATATGTTTTTAAGGGTCGTCGTCGAAAGATTTACCTGTTTTTTGGGTGACAAAATCGAGATTCTCTTTATCCTGAATTATGTGAGTTAAGAGTTGTAGGGTATCAATGAATGCCGCGTACCTGAAGCCATAGATTAATAATGCTATCTATAACATCCTTCTCTTAAGGAAGGAAGAGTCAAGGATAATTAGGATGCAAGCAATGGCGGATTTTGAGCTGTAAGTTAGTTGGGACTGAACTGGCGGCTTCTTAGAGGCTGCGTGGGTTCATCATAACATGTGTAAGTTCTTAACCCTAGTACAGAAGAGAATGAGTAGCAAAAGGAAGAAAAACATGAAGGTGTAGCCTACACTTCTATGATGTGTTAATGAGATTTAACCCAACCAGTAAGGTTGGGTTATAACTATCTAATTTTATGGCAGGGTTTTCCGTCAAGTTGCCTGCTTACTATGTGACCTTGGGCAACCTTGACAGACTCCTTCGCTTCTTCCTAGAGCCATAAGCCTAAGGGACATATGGAAATATGACTGTGCTGCGGTCGCTGGTAGAAATGACACGTCATTGGCTGTCGTCAACAAACCCATTACGGCTAGAGGATTTTTCAGTTCAGACCAAAACAAAACACATTCCCCAAAACAGTTTGATTATGGCCAGCATCCAACCACATACAGAATGTCCCTTCAAGAGTTACAGGATTCACAACAGCGCCTAGAAGAGGAGCAGCTACTCAGGGAGCAAGCTGAGGACTAACTGAGGCTTCAACCCAAAAACAATGCTATCCAAATTCCTCAATGCCTGCCATGCCATGCGCATTCATTTCTCGGGTTATCCATCCAAAGAGACAAAGACTCATTAACTGAAGGCGATCTGGCTAATGCCAATGTAAATTTCCTTTGACCAGGATTCACAAATGGACCACCTTTCCAACCGAGCAAGCTTCGATATGGGAGGATTTGATGGGCACAGGGTTTGCGACAGAGCGCAATTTTTTGCCTCTATTAGCATTGAAGGAATATGGCAAAGAGGCACAGGGAAGGATAGTAAGCTCTGAGCTGGATTTGCTATTAAGTACTTACTCTCAGCCAATATATCTAACATCTAGTCCAGTTCTTGCCATGTTATCTCTTAGAGTTTTGGGTAGTGTGAGGCCTGTATTTTGTCAGTGGATGGCCATCAAATAGTGATGCATGCTAATAAGTTGCTCTCAAGAAAGAGGCCATTGGCTGTTAGGATTACAAAACATTATTTGACTAGTGAGGAATTGACTGTTCCTTAAATGCTTTGTATACATTGATGCTACTATATCTCTTGCTGACCAGGTTTTTCTCTTTGTGATAAGTACTTGAACACATAGCGTGTTAGTCCCTAACACTAGCATCTTTGTAAACAAATTACCACAAAGTGTGTTAACAGATTATAGAAGAGCTTATGTGGATATTAGTCTTGAGCCACGGAGTGTTAATGACTGAGTGAATCAAGCCATTCTAGCTGGAGAATAGGCTGCTGGAAAGGAATGCCTGAATTTTCCTTGGGAATGGACCTCAGCTCTCAGTGGGGCTAATATCATGTGATTATAACCTAAAAATAGACAAGGACCTATTTACTTGACTTAAGTATTAGACCCTCTTGTTAGACAGCGCTTGACTCAGGGCCGGAGCTTATGTGGATGTACTAGGTTTAAAAATCATTATTCTCTCTAAATACATTAGAAAGGAGGGCTTTTGATGACTATTATCTCCAGGAGAGGTCTAGTATCATTAGTGATGTCCCAATAGACTCTGGCTTGATTGTCCACGACCATGGGATCCCAATGTATAAAGGGTAATTATATATCTCCCAGCTTTCTGAGCTTGAGAGCTGCATAGAAGGCGGGTGGCTTGATCTTGCTGAGTCTGTTATATCACTGGTGGTATTTAAGAAGGTTAAAAGTCGTTCACATAAGAGAATGAATTTTATAGGGTCATATTTCTACTAGAAATGTTAACCTTAATATGGGTCAAGCATCCTCCAATCAACAAAGGAAAGTCAAGGGAGGGTTGGCATAAAAGTCTGTGTGAATAAGATAAAGAAGCCTAATTATCTGCTGAGACTGCCTGACTAGGAGCTGCTGGTTGATGGTAAGATTGTTGCTGCTCAGCACTGAACTAGAACATGTAGATGAAAAATACACTTAGGTTTCTTCTATGCCTATTACCTTTGGGTCTTCCGCGGCCTCTTGAAGGACTCTCTTAATTTAGGTATAAAGTCCTCTGTCACCCTTTTTCCTCTGTGCACCTCTGGGGAAGATGACATAGAGCAAAGCTTTTACCTAAGGAATTAAAGGCTTATAAAATAGTGTGAAATACTTGTTTGCTATTCCTTTAAAATCTAATTCATTATTAACTATCCCCTTCTTTGAGTTAGCCAACTTCTGATCATTATCATAATTCCAATAGTTAAAATCCGTTGGTCCTACTTCCTTATTAGGGCCATTGTAGTGAATGCATATCCAAAACAAAACCTAGAAGAAAGACTCCAGGTCATGCCAGAAGGAATGTTTCTCACCTAGAAGGAGTCTAATAGCTATGAAAGCCTGTGTGCCTATTTTGCCTCTTACTCCTGACGCATGCTCTCACTCCTCCCTGATAGCAAGGTCCAGGTTAATCAGAAAGGCTGGCCATGAGCTGTTATTTTCTCCTTTATTTATCATAAGGTTGCCAGTGGATATATCACCTTGAAGAATACCTGCATTTGTATGCAATGATTCATAACCTGGGATGATAAGCATTGATAGTGTAAGAATATATGTAGTAAGTCTGACCTATTAAGCAGTGCTTAAGGGCATTAAGCAGGGTGATATGAGAGCTTGCTCTATATATTAGTTTTCCATAATTACTGATAAAAACACAACAGTGTATACAATTCTCCAAGGCAGCATCACCAGTCATGGATGAAGAGTATGAACAAGGCCTTTTATTAGTAGGTTGAGGATTATTAGCATAGCTAAATAATCTCTTTTAACTAGCACCACTAATTTGGGAATGGGTTAAATGTGTCAAGTCTCTTTGTTCTCTTACTTGGTGTGCATCTTTAAAATTTAAAGCCTTTGTAATATCCAGACCCTTCCTGATATTATCCCAGATATTATCGACTTTTGCATCCACTTTGACTGTTTGATGATAAAAGTACTGTGCGACATTCGCAACGCCTTTATTAGTAATCTTACTAACTCGCCTTCTTCCTATTGCTCCGGATACTGCCATGAATCCTTGACAATGATAAAGATTTCGGGGTTCCCATCAAGACGGGCCTCCAGCAAACAGTCGCTCTACCAGCAACATATGATGATGGTTTCATGAGGCCATCAAGTATCAAGCGCTCCATCTTCCTGCCATGTGATATTTCCATATATTGATTCCTATTAGGAGGCGTCCTGATGGTTAGATTGAGACCCAGCTGCTTGTCATTCATCTGCAGAAATCCTAACATTGCTGAAATAAATTATATCCTGTTTAAGTTTATGTCAAATAAGGAGGAGGCGATGGCCCCTAAGTAATCAAACTCCCATAAGTGCATAATGGAACCGCAAAGAGTAAAGCCTAATATAAATTAATATATAGGCCATGCAGCAAACACCTCCCTCACATATCTACCCAGGTCACACCAGGTATTAGATGAAGTATCAAGATCTGGGCTGCTTTTCAATTCACCAGGAACAAGGACATGCGACCAATGAAAACTATATTTATCTGCAGCATGCAGGGCCCCAACAATGGCAACATCCACTTTATGTTTTGTAGTAGTGTACGACGATCGGAGGTAATCGGCTTGGGGGTTCCTAGAAGGCAATGTTATCAACTAGGCTGCGGGAATACTAGTTATGACTACTGGGTTCTGAAGGTGTATAGGTTTACTAGTAAAAATATATATATTTAAATGGTTAGAATAAACTGCTTAGTCTTTACCAAGCTGTTTAGATTCTCCTATTTCTACTCTATATATTTAGAACTAGAGATACTATATCCTAACTAAGCAAAGGCTTAGTAATAGGAGAATGCTATTATGCTAGTAATTTACTATATAATAACTATCCCCCCCTATAGGAAAGGTTTGTCCTGAAGTTCTGAAGTCTGAACTATACTTGTGAGAACACTGAGAACCCCATGCTAGGCTATGGATGTACCCAACTGAGGCACAAGACCTACTATGATTGACCCCTTGGTCAATCTGCTCTTCTCTCACACTGTCACACACATAATGGAGGAACTCACTGACAGAATATGAAATTATTATTTAGAATTAAGGATTAGGTGAGCTTTTATATTTATGGTTTATATGGGTTAGCTAACCTACATATATTAGCTGAATATCTTAGTAAAGGTTGGCTGACCTATAGTCACCATGATATGTCTAGTTATACATGCTAATCACTCTCCTGCAGTTCTGGGCAAGGGCTTTAAATGTTCAATAGCCTGAACCATAGGTCCATACCACAGCCTTTGATCACACACACATACGCACAAAGTGTTGCCTTCTAAATTAAACCCAGATTTGGATAAGTACATACGACCATAGGGTGTGGAAAACAGGGCTTCCCGTCCGCTCAGCCGTACTTAAGCCACACGCCGGCTGGTTAGTAGTTGGGTGGGTGACCACCAGCGAATCCCGGCTGTCGTATGTTTGTCTTTTTGTTTCTGTCTTTTTTTGCCTTTCATAAATCAAGCTGACTGGCCTTGTCATGGTGGCCATCTTGTATTTTTAATGTGATGCCTCCTTTGTGGAAGTTGTGGTTGTGGTTGATGGTCTAGCACTTCACCAAGTGTAGTTTAAGAAACTGGGATCTATGTATCACTTAATATTATCTCTTCGCATCATTATCTTCACTGAAGATGGTTCTTGCGATTGAGATACTGCTGTTGAGCACGGAGCATCTTGCTGCAGAATGGAATAGCCATAGACCTTGATCCATTTGAACTAGTGTAATCGTCGCTTCTACAAAGTTCCCTCCCCTTGGCCTTCTCATCCATCAAATTCCTCGCCCGTGAGCATGAATTGCAACGGCACTTGTTTTGCATAGGTTTCCCTGGTCTAGACATTGCAGTCCAAGCCAGAGCACTAAGCCTTCATATCCAGTACCTGGCTTTCGACAAAGGCCAGGGCAGAAGAAACTTTGCAGCCCAATCTCGACGAAAACGTGATAGCCATGTTGAGACGAGCCTGCAGATAGACAATCGCCGTGATGTATCTTTCATTTGCCGCAGGGGCCAGACAAACAGTTGCCGGACTCCTCCCGAAGGCTGCGTGGGCGTCACCTCACCAGAAGAAGGGAATGATCTAACCCTGGTGGGCCGTATGGCACGTTTTTGGTGAAGGGAGACTCTTCCCTATTCTAGCTGGTTTTTCCGAGGTGATTCGTCCCCAGTCCGAAGAACTCCACGATGTTGTTGGTGGAGAATCCGGGGTGCAAGCCAAGAAAGAGTCCTCTCCACTGCTGCTACGAGCGAAGTATATCTCACATCTCACACCTCGTCCACCGAACAACCTCTGGCTACAAGAGAGACCTGCTTCATCGACGACCTCGGAATTGTGGAGTCATCTCAGAACACTCATGCATTACGAGCCCCAGCCAGCCATGTCGAAGGGTCACACATCCCGACCAAAACGGCCAAGATTCACAATGGCGACGCTGCCCTGGCTTTATTCGATAACCTGGATGATATGCACGAGAGCTTTAAGGAAGGTGAAGAGAAGAAGCTCGTCCGAAAAATTGACCTGATGATCCAGCCGTTTCTGGCAGTCTGCTATGCATTCTACTACGTAAGTGAGGTGGCAGTCACACTGGCAAAGCGGAGCAGACGAGAGCAACAGACTAAGGCACTGTCTCATGGCCATTATCTTTGGCATCGAAGACGATCTTCATCTCTCCGGCAAAACATATTCATGGCTCTCTCGTGTCTTCTACTTTGGCTTCCTAGTGTGGGCGTTTCCCACCAGCCTGTTGATGCAACGATTTCCCCTTGGCAAATACCTCGGGGTCAACATCTTCCTCTGGAGCCTCTTTTTGATGCTGCAAGGTACTCGCCATTCCTTTGATATTGAATGAATCGCTGATTCACACGACGAAAGCTGCCGCAAAGAACTTTACCCAGCTCGCAGTGCTGCGAGTTATTTCTGGCGCCGCCGAGGCATGCAGGTGGGTAGCATCTTTCGATTTGTCACTTCCCTTGACTATGAACGGCAATTGGAACTTGAACATCCGCTACCTATACTAGGGGAAGGGGAAAATGTTATCACACTCGAATATCTGGTTACACTATAAAGCGAGCATAGTGAATATGCCACAAGATAACCTAAGACTCAGACCAGATAATTCAACAATGCTCATTGCTTTTATTCAAGAGCCTGAAGGTTAATTTCAGTAGCTTCTCAAGTCCTTCATTCCCATATCCAGAACGATGCAAAACGAGGCTCTGTTCTCATAGCTAGACCCAGCTATTCCAACCTTTCCATCGAACTGCTAAGCTTCTTGTCCTCGTGTAAGAAGCATGAAGGGGGGAAAACAACGAAAACCCCAACTCCAATTGCCATTGGTACCATATCCAACCCGATGAGATATCGCTCCGTGCGCATGAGATGACCCTTCCATCCATCCGACAACTCAACAATACGATATCCATTACGAATTAGTACCATGATTGTTGACACGCACAAAGCCACCAATACTGGCCATTTAGCTTGGGCGGCCAATGCTTTCTTTTGTCGCAATCGGAGACTTGCTCCCACGATCAGTATGACAAAGACGATCGTGTTGCTGAACTGGAAGATGATTCCCGAGCGCATAACGTCGCCACCGTGGCTGAGTTGTTCGTAGTTCTGAGCGCTTGATACCTCGACTCCTCCGACGGTCTGGATGGCTAAGGAGATAATGTCGCAAATGATGAATCCCGCCCAAAAGAATGTGGATGGAATTGGGAAGAGGCGGGGGGTAGTCTTCTCGATACTTCTCTTATCAGTACCTCCTTTTGAAGCCTTCAGTCAACCCACTTACAGTTTGCAGAAGAGGACATAGTCTGCGGCAGACAGAAAGACAGGGCTGACGATGAGACTGCAAATCTGGATCATAAATGCCATCCAGCTGTTTGGCTTGTAACTGTTAGCAACTGGTCATTGATTCAAATTAATACATACGTCGATATGAGCCCAAAGTCGACCTCCCCAGCCGATGGCCTCTCCCATAGCGACGAGAGCAATCGTAGTCATCCAGTAGTACTTATATGGTCCGAACGCCATCTGCAGGATGCACACCACCATGGAAGTGCCGAAGAACACAATGCCAAATAATGCGGCTGGCTTGCTGGGTAAGTACCCATACATATCCACATCTTGATCCATGGTGAGCCGCTCGGGAATTGACTTGTTTTTCGTGATTCCGATCTTATGGTTTTTTGCGATCGAGAAGGTAACTGGGCGTTATATGTAGTCACAAGGACGGAAATTGCATTGAGCGCCATTATGGTTGCCTGCCATCAACCAAATTTGTAGCAGCGATATAAAGTCTACTTTCGTCTTTTGAAGACCCCAATTTGCCTTGTGGGATACTCCTGTACAACCTCCGCACAATCGCCGGATGGCGATACTGCTGGCAGGCGATTGATACTCCAAGCTTGATTGATGATAGACTACTCTGCCTGGCATTCATTGCGAGCTTCCTGGACTCTCTTTATCAAGTCAGCCCGACACAGCCTTGACATGTTCTGAATTGCGGTTCAGTTTCATAGCTGCTCTATCCCCGTCCTGTATCCTACTGCCCTACATAGGACGGTCTATTGTCTCCACTTTATTGCCGCTAAGGTCCCGCGATTTCTCCACCTCCGTCCATCAGACTCCATCTCACTTTGTTAAAATCTCTCAACTGGCGGAACTTCATTGGAATCACCTCCAATGCCACTGAAACGAGGGCTAGAACGAGTCTCATGCGACTTTTGTCATCGACGAAAGGTCAAATGTGACCGACTGTTGCGTGCTAGACAGGGCATGACTGCATGTTCACAATGCGCCCTGCGGGACATACAATGCCATGTGGATGACTCGGATGACGTTCGGATTCGGCGGCGCCGCCAAACTACCGCTCGCGGAGGTATTGTCGAAGTTGGCACTGGAGATCTACAGCCTGCCCTATCGCACCCATCGCCAGGTGTGCGAGGCGATTCAGCTTCACGGGTGGCCTCGGAATCACATATTCTATCTCCTTCCCCCGGAAATGACAATGCGGCACTATCAAATATTTCGTTCGACATGTTTGCTGATAGTCCGTTTGCACTGAGTTTCGATAATATGCTTTTCCTCGATCAAATTTTCATGGGCAACTGCGGCCCTGCCGAGGATAACAATCAACGAGGCCAGGATTCGCAGAATCCCACTCCCACCTCCGACATGACCCAGACAGACAGTCAAGAACAAGACGGGAAGGACCTTGTCTCTTCAAGTGAAGAACTTAGCGCATATTCCTGGATGGGGGTCTCGGTAGACTCTGCATTCTGCACGGCAGCACTGCGTTCCTATTTCGATTATGCGGCCCCATACCTTCCAATTCTCCTCGCGGATGCTTTTTGGGAAGACTATCATGCCAATCGGTGCAGTGAAATGCTTCTGTATGCCGTTGCCTGCAGAGGTATGCCCTTCATTGAAGCTCCGGACAAATGGAACCTCCAGCAACTTCTCGCAGCCACTTTCCGCGAACGGTATCTCAGTGCTCGAAGCAACACATGTGACAATGAAACTATCCGACTTGACGATCTTGAAGCTCTTGCCCTGATGATCGATTTTGAGTATGATGACTCAAGGAGTCTGCCACTCCTGTCGAATCTTGCAAAACTGTTTCTTACCCATGACGCGCTCGTGCTGATGACGATGAACTATCGGATTCTTGATCATGACAGCGCCAATTCAACATTACCAACAAAGCTCGCCAGGGCTAGCGAGCGTCGCGTGCTCCTCTATTGGCACATTTATGGACTCGATGCATTTCACTGCCTTGACAAAAAGCAAATGTCGCGTATCCCAAACAATGACGTTGGGGGTAGCGAGAACCTCTCGCTGCACGAGACTAAGGACTATTTCGATGCTCTTCTTGCGCTGGCTGTGATAGCTCGTCAACTTACACAGACTTTGTGCAGCCCTTTTTCAAAACGAGAAGGCGTCATCCTCAATGACATCCGCAATTTGTACGAGCAACTAGATTATTGGAGGGACAGCTGCTGTCCGCGACATCTACGGAGGTACACAGACAGTGCAGGTAGACCCAATCCCATTGAAATTAACAAGCCAGACTCCAGTCGAACGGGGAAATATACCCACCTTTATCGAGGGGTTTTATGGACTCTGGAGCTACACTGTCGACTGATGATTGAAGACTGTGTATCGGAATTCGGTATACAGGACAAAACAAGCTTGGAGGCCGAAGTACTCGCAAGACGAGTGGAATATGAAAGTTTGCGCGCATTAAATGAGATGGTCAACATATGCCAGTGGATGAAGCAGCACGAGACACATCATGAAGACCACGAGCGACATTCTTTGATCGATCTCGCGCCAAATATTTTGCGCAACATCTGCGCGGGCATGTGCTATTGGTCCTGCCAACGAGGGATTGACCTTTGCGACAGCGGTCCCCCAAGGCTGCTTCAGTCCCGGCATGCAAACGATAGAGAAGAGATTCTGAAGCGAAAAGTCCTAAACTATGTGGAAATCGCAAAGTTACTGCGAGATGCTGCAGCGACCGCAGCATCACATCGAGATACGGCGCACGTCCTTGAGCGAATCGACAAACAGCGGGAGTTGCTTGGTTCCAGATTGAATCTGCTCTAGCCTTCCTACAGGGCAAATGTGCTCGAGTATAAAGCATAGCTTCTTTGTCTTTTCTTCCAGCATGTTGCCCAGCGTTTAATATACCCTGTCCGTCATCTGGTTTCGCTCGGATTACTTAGTTATCTCAACAGAGACGGCGAAGACTAAGACATAATAAGTATGATTTCTATTATATAAGACATGTACTTATCTGCGTCTTAATACTGCAGACTCTTCCTCCTTTCTACGTATTCCTCTACTCTCCACTTCTAGAACAGATAAATCACAACTTATAGGAGGTAAAGGTGTTGGAGTTATAGCAGTCTGCATCTCTTAGGTATGGCTATGTGTTCTCAGCAGATCCGCATTAATTATACATAGAGAGCCATCGTGTTCTCTATTGAGCGCCTGTACATTATTTCATATGCAGTTTATCTCCATGTCTGGATAGAGCTTTCTAATGCACTGCTATATCTTTACTAAAAGGCTAGAACTGGAGTGAAAGAGGAAACTGACCGTCCTCCCGCTTCACCCCGCTTCACCATATACATTATAGCCACGTCCAGAAATGCTGAAGTTATGGGATAAACTTCAAGACAGTGCTCACTAGGATATCAATCAAGCTAGGAACAAGCGAATCAAAACAGCTGCTGGAAAGACTAGCAAGCACTCTATTCTTAGAAAATTCCTTCGTAATCCAACCAAATGCGGACTGGCGTTGTTTCACAAATGGCTCCAGAAACAAAGCGGCTGCCTAAGGCTCTGAGCGAACAATCCAAACCGCCTCGAAATCGATCACAATTAGGGCCAAAGCTACATACAGACCGGGTCGGATTGATGGACCACACGTTCGGTCAATGTCGCCTAAGAAGTTGCCGCATTGCATGACACCGACTTGAAATACAGACAGTCTTCTCACTATTGTAGTTATACAGCTAGTACTTAACCAGCAACTTCCATATACTTGCTGATACACCGTCGGCTCTTCAAGACCTCACGAGGACAATCGTCCTTGTACTATCCAGGCGACAGTGGATTTTAATGTGGAGGATGCCATGCTTTCCTTCAACAGGTCCCTGGACACATAGGGGTTTATGAAAGCACCACGCCATGGGGCAGCGGATGAGCCAGACTGGCAGGTATTCGGCGCAAGAAGGCAGAAATCCTCATTTATTGTCACGAGAGAAGGCCTTCCTCCACAACAAGACCTGGGCCCAAGTGAAAACGAGAATGGATAACATGTAACTGAATGCAACATGAACTAGACAGCTTTAGGAAGCCTGGACTGCTTCCAGCACTGGTGCATCTGTGACGATCTTAACTTAGTCTGTCAGTTCTCTCACGGCCAACCGAGAGCTTCATGTTAAGTCTCTCTGTTAGACGATGGACTTGGGTGTGAAGTGAATCAGCTGAGAAGTTTTAGGATATTCAATCAATACCAGCCATATAGCACTACGATTTTGACAGCCCTTGTGGACGACCAGAGACGAACCGGAGAAAGAGAAAAAACACTGGAGCCTACCACTTGTCTCACATGGACATATTCCTCGAAGTATCTAGATCAGTACGACTCTGCGCGATTAGTGGGGCAAAGGCCACTTATTGACATGGTTCGCAGCCTCCTAATAGTCGCGACGCCGCAGAAACAGGCTATGATTGACATAACAATGGACTGGTACTGATTCACCTCAGGCTTTTCTCTGAGTCCGGCTTCCCGGTCAGGCGTCCGAGTCAACCGTTGACCAATACTGCAGCAATTATTATAGGTAATGTTTCGTGCCGAGCCCATGTACCCTATGCTTCGCCTCCACGTTGATCCATTATTAAAGGCCCATCAACGCCGGGGTGCGATGTCTTATGAAAATGAAATATCATGGCCGTCGTCTTGGGAAGACCGAGACAGCTCGCTGTTGTGGTGATTCTCTCTGTTGTCGTCTTTGCTATCTTTCAGTTCAGCTACACCGACGATTTTGCCCCCGCCGGACACTTGTCAGAGTCTGTACAAATAGTGGATGAATGTTCTCCTGGTGAGCTCAACGCTATCAATAACCCTCGTCCTATACTCGATCCCGCAATACCAGACATTGTCCATCAGCTATGGAAAACAACTGATGTCCGAGAATATTCCACCAAAATCACAGCGTCTCGTGAATCATGGAGGGCCATGCTTGAACCCTCAAACTACACAGTCAAGCTATGGACGGACGACGATGTCCTTGAACTCATCAAGGCAGATTACACTTGGCTGCTGTCGACGTATGAAGGATACGCTCACGATATTCAGCGTGCCGACATTGCGAGACTGTTCATCGTCCACTCTGAGGGTGGCATCTATTCCGATCTGGACGTATACCCCAGCTCAGTTGAGCATATTCAATGCCTCCAAAGACTTGGCTTACAAGCCATATTCTCCCCAACGGCGGGCACACTCGATCTCAGTAACCATTTCTTTATGGCCAAGCCTGGATCTCCATTCCTGCAGTGGGTGCTCTACGAGGCCAAGCGCCGGAGTAGCAGGCTCGCATCACGAGGCATAGTCCTGCCGTACCTGCAGGTTTTTTGGTCCACAGGACCGATCATGGTGACGGCGGCATTTAGACAATACGCTTGGCTATACAACACGCTACGACTCGATATAGGGCTGCTGGACGACGGGTTTAGTGGCCTGGTGGTACGACATGCCGCTGGGCGGTCCTGGCAAGGAGTGGACGGCCGAGCGCTGAATTATATCGCGGATCATGCCGGGATGGTTTCCATATTAAGATTTGTTGGATGCTTTTCTACAGTGGCAGGACTTATCTATGTGTTTAGGAGATGCAATAGTAGATTCATTGGGTGACAAGGTGAGGGCTAGGACTATACATTGCCTGACATCTTATATACATTAAGACTTGATCCATAGATTCAAAAAGGACGCTGTACAGCGTGAAATGACGTCTCCCATAGCCTCATATCAAGCAGCGCACCTTTCATACATTCTCTTTTCCACGGGATTGTCTGTTTCTTTCAAGTCTGATCTTAATATGCTTCAATAGATCCACTCGCTGTCGAGGGGACCCTGAGGACCATCCAGTTCTCTCTGTTTCTAAATCATATTTATCATACTGACCGTCCGCCTCCGCCGAGGTCGATTCCGAGCCCAGTGGATGTTGCAAAGGGTGTGGCTGTCTCCTCCGCTGCACTGCCTCGCGGCTGCGACGATCCCTGCAGGCGAGGAATGATTTCGGCAGACGTGTAGGGAGCCAGCATGGTGACAAACGCCAGATCGGCTGCGAAGAGACCTTTCGCGATGTACTGGTCAGCAGTGCGGCCGTAGCTATCACAACAAAGCAGGACCTTGCCGTCGCCGTGCCAGTAGTTGAAGAAGTTGTTGAAGGTCCTTTCCAGCAGGCCGTCAAGCGTCGTTTTCCACTAGGGGTTTTCCTATTGAATCAAAATGTCCATCAACGCGCCGCTCTTCCACCACCCACCAAACATCTTTCCCGGGATTTCCCCGGTTCGATTGCCTGTATAACTGGACATGGTATTGAACACAGCGATGCCAGCTGCACTCTGTATGGACTCTATCAAATCTCAGCTCTTTTCCAATCTTCTGGGGTCTAGACTCTAAGCGTACGTTTTTCATTAATATGCACCTTAATGGTCAAGGCATATTCCCCATCATTATAATGCCCCAGGCGACCCAAAGATGGGGCTTAGAGATCATCTTGGCGCAAGATACCAATTGAATGATATCTTTGTGGTCAACAACCGATTCGTCGGGGTCTCCAGGAAGAAGAGATCAATAAAGGGGCGGGCAAAGGTTCCCCCAGTATCTCGTTAGCACATAAATTGGGGAAAGCTTAGATTCAAATAGCTATAGTCAATACAAATCGACTTGACCTTCTTCCACATCACACCGTTTTCTCCGTCTTCGAACTAGACCCAATTAACATAGTACACTCGCTGTATCCCGAGATGCATCATGTGGCAATATTGGCTGCCCTTGGAAATCGTCATTTCTTACCTCGATGTCGCAACAAACTCCAGTCTGGTTCCATATGCTACAGTTAGCCGAGAATGGCAGGCCTGCATTGAGCAACGCACCTTTGCAAAAATCAACCTAAATGACCCCCAGCGGCTAGAGGAATTCCGTCAAATTGTCGCTTGCAATAAGCAAAAGCGGATATATGTTCAGGAAATTCATCTCCTAATCCCTATTGAGCCATACGACATTAAGGCGCATGCCTACTTTGAGACAGTTGCTGAGCACAATCGCAATAATAAAATCTTTGTCCAAACAATACAAAACATTCTCCAGATTCTAGCAACGTGGCCGGAGAACCAACGAGGAATCAAACTATTCATTCAGGCGCAGTCCCCTAGCGACCCTATCAGAGGCGACAAACAACGTCTTAAAAGAGCTCGGTACACACCACATGAGGATCTACTAGACCGGAGATTTGAAAGGTCTTATCTCCAGGTATCTGAGGAAGACCTGAAACGTCTCCCGCCTGTGGTGGCAGTGACTACACTTGTTATCTATGGGGGGATGAGATTTGAACGGTTGATTAGACCCTCAGCAACGGCTGTCATTGCGTCAAAAATGCCACGGTTACAGATTATGGCAGTGAACCTCAAGGATAACGAAAAAAGGGATCAAGAGCTCCGCAAGCGCGACCAGGATGGTAAGATCTTATCCCCTTATATATCTGTTAGGCTGACCCCTGTTATTACAGATTTTGCGAATTCATTTCATCTCATGCCACCATCAGTACGGAGATTTAACCTTGTATTCTACAACGAGGCACCACGAAATGAGGCTTTCCAACCCATCAACCTTGTTGAAGGTAAAATCGAGGACCTCTTCAGTGCTCAGCTACGGGCCTTTTCACAGCAGCTTACATCATTATCTCTGGACTCTGCTGTTATAGGGAAAGAGTTATTCTGGCCAGTTAATGATGACGGGAATCCACAGCTTCCATACTGGCCAAATCTAACTATACTCAGCCTCGATTACCAACCCACGAGCCCTTCTGGAGAGTGGTATTTTGAGCGAGACCCTAACGAAGATTTAGGCTTTGAGGTTGATGAGCGAGAGGAAACACTCCTGCCAGATTATTTGCAGCCGGCTCCTGAGGACCAACGTCCACGATTTTTGCGTTCAAAAGCATCAGTGAAACTCATTCAGGAATTTTATATCTCGGCTGGAAGGGCAGCACAGCGCATGCCACGGCTGCAGTATATGGATTTGAAGTGTTCCCCTGGTCTGATAAGTCACCAGTTCGAATACCAGGTAGAGGAAAAAGGTGCAACAGCAACTTGGACAGACCTAGCTGGGTATGCACCAGAGGAATGTGTTGTGCAGGCTTGGAGGGATGCCGCTTTCGAGCACACTGGCATGGAATCAAGCTTAGAGGTCAAGTTGGTAGGCAGGACGGGTACAACTTGAATCTTCTTATTGGCGTGTCATTCTGGCTATCTTTATGATATTTATACATAGCCTTGTACATTAACATTAGTCAGTGCCACTTAACAGCCACTTTGGGTGTGTAGGAGATATGCTTCCTGGCTATTCTACATGTATACCTTAGGCAACTGCACGAATAATATCAACGACATCAACATTACTATCTTCTTCATTAATCACAATAAACGCAGACACTAATCATTAAACAAAGAGACCGATCTGACTAAGTGCTACGCCGACAAAGTCTCACCTCAATCCCCTCCTGACGAACAAAAAAGCTATTGTGCGTCTTCCATTCCCCCTTCGGATCCGCCAATTCAACCTCATACCTCAAGACCAGCGTGGCCATCACCTTGTACACCTCCATCATCCCCAGGCTCCGGCCAATACACACCCGGCTCCCAGCACCAAAGGTCAAGTCAGCAGCATTCATACGCTTGAGGCGCTCCTGGTACTCCTCCTCGGTCTCGCGGGTCTCGTCGCGGAGCCACCGCTCCGGCCGGAAGAATTCGGCGTCCTCGCCCCAGACGGATTTGTTGCGGGCGAGCACGTAGGGGTTCATGCCGACGATGCATCCTCCGGGGATATACTGTCCGTCAGGAAGGGTGAGGCCTTCGTCTGGGACGTAGCGCTCCAGACACATGGCGACACCGGGGTGCATGCGCATGGCCTCGCGGATTACGGCGTTGAGGTAGGGCAGATCCTGCGCAGTTTTGAATGGAACGATTGTGGATGATCCAGGAGGGAGGGCTGAGACCTCATCCTGCAATCGTTTCCACACGGCGGGGTTCTTGAGCGCAAAGTACAGCGCCGCGTTGAGGGTGATGGCGGTGGTGTCCGCGCCGGCAATCATGTTGATCATGAGGTAGGAGATGATCTGGGCGTCGTCGACCACGTCGGGGAAGAGGGCCTTTGCTTCGATGAACTTGTCGAGGAAGTCTGGCGTGGCTGGGTCGTGGTATGCTGTGTCTTTGCCCTGGAGGCGGTCGACGAGGTGTTGGATGGAGATGTTGGTGATGTTTCCGAAGGACGGGGGGCCAATCCGGTAGATGGGGTTCTTGTCCAGGAGGTGGTCGAGAATGGGCAGTTGACTCACCAAGGCAAAGTAGTCCATGGCCTTGTCGGAAATGGCGATGGTGTGGTCGAAATCACAGCCCTTCTCGAGGTACCCGATGGGTTCACTGAAGGTGACTTTTCCTACCACGTCCCAGGTATCTATGCCCAAAACAAATAAGCAAGTGACTGGTGGCCAGGATGCCTCACTTACAGTAGAGCAGCCATTGGCCGATGTCACAAAGCCTCCCAGCTTTCGGTCCATCAATAAACTCCTCCTCCAGTCTCCGACACAGGAAGCCAATAGTCTCATCGATATGGGGCTCCAGGGGCAGCACACCCGACAAGGAGTAATGTTTTGCGATCGGCCGCTTCTGCTGCGCATGCACCTGCGGATCACACTCGCTGAAGAGATTGTAGATGATTTTGCCGTTGTTCTTTGCACTACTTCCATGGTAGAACTCTGTTTTGCGGTAGTCGCCCCTGGTGCTGTAGATGGTGCGGATCAACTCGGGCATATCCAAGTCAACCACATTGGGCGCGATCCGAACAACTGGGCCGTACTTTTTGTGCAGATCCGCGGTGAGGATATGCATTTTCCCCTTCCGGACATGATATATCCGCCAGAGGTTGGTCCATCCTGCCACAAGTACATCCATTAGGGGTGTTGCAAAAGGAACAGGGGTATACCTCACATACCTGCAAGCATTGGGCCGGGGAAGCGGCGTAAAGGGGAGATGAGATAGGTCACCAGATACCAGATGAGGAGAGCAGCGCATAGAGCTCCAAAGAATGGGTTGACGAGGCCTCTCCGTCCGTAGTCCAACGCCACAGACTGAAATGCCTCCATGATGGGTGACAATGTATTGTGTTTGAGGGGTGTGAAACAGAAAGAGATACAGAATCGACAGGGGCAGCAGCCTGGGTCTGCAGTATTTACACATCTCCCAGTCCTGGGAAGGCTTTCGACTGTAGATTAAAAGCTGGGGTCTAGGTCCTTGATCAACGCCCGCTATCGTGCACTAACGTACAGACGAGACAAATTAGGTAACTGGAATCCGCACGGGCCGTATTCATGGTCAAAAGTACCCATTGTGGCTTCATGAGGGATACCCCCGATTGGCCCCATCGGACGAGATGCCTACATGTCCAAAACCCAATTGGAAACCTCCTCAGCGGCATCCATGCCGCGGAGTGCCCTGTGCGTCCTGCCAAACCGACGGCGCGGGCCAGATGACACCTTGCAGTGCGAGTCGAATCTGACACCTCATCCGCCGCTTCAAGCGCAATCATGATTGGAGGGATGAGAAGTTTAATCTATAAGAGTTGGGACCTATCACAGGAAATACGGAAGAAGTTTCCCGCCCTATAGCCTGTGCTGTGGACAGCCCTCGCTAACGGTAATTTCGATATGTGGGCACAAGCAGATCATCCCGCAATTGGGTAATGGCTGATATCTATCAAGTTGATGGATCATCGAGGCGCTCGTTCGGCAATGCGGAATGTCAAATTATTGATCTTCAGCAAGCCGTTAGAATGACAGCTCACGGACGTTCTATTTCGAGCAGAAAGTACGAAACTGCATGTATATCTTTCTACTTGGAACCAGCCAGCTAAACTAGACATCCCCCTCGCTCAACGTCAAAGAGACAGCATCCTCAGAAGGTAGAACCCCAGAATGGCTATGGATAAAGGCACAAAAGCCATCGCCGTCATGTGGGTGATGACCATACTGTCATTCCTATTCGTGCCTCTGCGCCTGTACACGAGAATCTATATCATCAGGGCGCTCGGGCTGGACGATCATGTGTACAACCTTGCCTGGGTATTTATAATCATATTGCACAACCTTCATGGATTGACTGATGCCAGGTCTTCTTGCTGCTATACACCGTGTTTCTCACCATTTCAAATCAACACGGATTCGGGCAGCCCATCAAGGCCTTGTCCTTGGACGAGGCGGTGCACGCGATCTACTGGGAAATGGTCGGCCAAACGTTTGCCGTCCTGGGAATGGCCATCGCCAAGCTGTCTCTGGGTATCTTCCTCCTGCGCATTGTGGTCAAGACGTGGCATCGAGTGTCGATCTGGGTATCCATGGTCAGCCTGTCTATGGTCTCTGTCATGACGGCCGTGATCTTCTGGACCCAGCGACTGCCATCTAGGTCCATTTATGATCCACGCGTCCCCGGGCGGACTCTCGTCAACGTTGTTCCCTTTTCAGTATTGCTTGGCTGTAAGAGTCTGATCTGTGTCAGAGATCGTACCCAGACTTGAGCTGATAGATCTAGCATGGTGTGCCGCGGTGGACTTTTACTTTGCCATCCTGCCTTGGATCTTCATCTGGAAGCTGAACATGAAGCAAAAGGAGAAGTTGGTCATCGCCATTAGTTTGAGTCTGGGATTCATGTTTGTTGCCAGCCCTTCCATGTCTCACCGGAGACGCTGACTGTCCCAGCGCCGGTATCTGCGGTGTGATCAGAACGATTGATTTGGGCGGGCTCGCAAGCTCCAATTACACCGGTCAGTAGCCTGTGCTCCTACCATCTCCGGGGTCTGTCAAACTGACATACTTGGCACATCCCAGAGTCCACAGTTGATCTGATCATCTGGTCAGCTGTAGAGCTGGCAGTGACACTCATCTGCGTCGGCATCCCCTCCATTCGCCCCCTCTACCGTCATGTCGTCCACGGGTCACGGTTCAAAGAATCCAACGAGGGTTATAAGAAGTATGACGAGAGTGGCGAATCGAACCCGGCGATCCATATGAAGCCCCTGGGTAGAAAGGCTCGGAAGGGTGATCTCGACACCACGACATCGACGATTTTGGGAGATACTGGATTTGATATGCCTCGCGGCGAGACATCAGCGTATGTTCAGCATGTGAGGGAAACGGACCAAGAGAGGCTCGTGGGTTCTCCCAGAGGGCCGCATGTCCACTCCATCCAAGTGCATGAGGAGGTGACGGTTGAAAGGAGCTCAGTGTTGTCTGGCTAAAGGTTGTAGGCACAGTAAAAGAAGAGAAAGGAGCAAAGGTAGTTAAGATGTAGGTTTTTAGGGCCAGGATTGGCTGAATAATTGATGTTATGAAGAGTGGAGGAAGCTGACTGTATTGGTCAAATATATATCCGAGAAGACCAACTCAGGTAGTGGGCGCTGCTGTTATGTGATGCTGCTTTGAGTTGCGCGACCCTGGGGGGGGCCTAGGGAGTGTAATATACACATTAACTTCTGCCTACACTCCAGCAATGACACTGCAAATGAGAAAGCCTGGTTGTCTGTACATTCCCTCTTTGCCTGCCATGCTATGTATGAACCCTATAATCTAAAGACACTGTGACTAAAAGACTGCAAAGAGTATAAGCTATAAAATGGAATACAATGGTCAGGGAGATATGGAGCTGCAATAACACCTATAGAGCAGCTTGTTCAAGTTAATTATATATTGTATCATTGCACTACTCTAGCTTAATATAGTTCTTGAAAGCTGTCCTATACATAATTGAGAGACAAACTTGATAGGCCATGATATTTAAAGAAGGCGTATTCAACGGGATATATCCATTACTGATCCGATTCGAACACGAAATCGGTGATGATTATATGTGTTCAACGTGTCTAACTTAAGGATTTGATCTCCTTGTTTTCATTGCTCAACAGATAGACAAAAGTATAGGGTAAATTAACATAATTCTTGTCACTCTTCCAGATCAATGGAGGCCGCCTCTTCTGGACTGATGGGCGTGAATTTCTCACTGGGTGAGGACTTTTCATCCAATAACGAATTGTCAGCGGCCATGGCGATTTGGTTGTAGCCGTCTGTACTGCCAGCTTTGAACTTCCCCCAATTGCCATATTCATCCCATATCGTGAATTGGCCTGTGAAAAGGCCACCAATGTCGCCGTATAACGGACGGCCCCCCAAGGTGAGACGGGTGAGACAGAGGGCACCGTGTCGTTGATTGACTGTGATATTGGCTATTGCGTTTGGGTGCCCTGCCTGCTTTGTCTGTTGCGAGCCAATCGGCCACAGGTAGTGCAGATGGGTTTGCTCGACGATGATGACGTTCCGCGAGACTCGTACGTAAGAATACTCAACCGGCGGAGGGTCCGAAAAATAGCCGCCTCTGATCTGGACTTTTTTGAATCGATGGACCTTGCTGGAAAGATAGTAATTGTCCTGATCGAATGAGTGAGTCCCGTTCGTAGTCTTCCCATTTGCGGTATTCTCGTAGCCACTGAACTCGACATTACTCATGTTGTAATGTATGGGGCTTATACCGGTAATGGTCACATGGGAGTCGGAATGCCCAGTCCCTCCGCCGGTATGATAGATCCCTTGGGGGGTCTGGATGCTTGCCCCGATGTTCTTGTGCTCGACCCTTGAGGTCGAAACCCACCAGGTTTTCTTTTGAAAATCCGCTCTTGGATCGGAGGCGTCGGTTTGCTGCGTCTCACTAGCCGCAGTGGCCGGCAACGCATGGTGGAATTCATTTTCCACGTCCGAATAAGTCCAAGGGGTCGACAGTTGCGTAGTAGGATTATAATAATCCACAAGCTTGATGGTGTTAAGCTGCGCTGCGCTTAGTTTGTAGATTGTATTGTTGGCTGGATTGATTGCTTCAATCGACACAATAACAGGCACCTGCATTTGACCGTTGGCGAAGAGGCTATCTCGAATATGATCACCTGGGCTGGTCTCGACCTTCATCTGGATGACTTCCCACTGTACAGCCATGATAAAGTATCTGAAAGAATTCTGATTGATTGATAGGATATGAATGAGAATGAAGATGTTTGCTACCGAAAGAAGGGATATTCTGAGAGATATTTTGAGGGGATATATACATATATATATGTTTTGCTTGCCTTTCATTCAACACCATTCAACACAGGTCTCCCGACGGTAACCCCTCTGAGATAGAACTGATGTGTTGGCATTGACAACTCAGGGGGCGACTGATCCTCTAGACGCTGCATGGCATATTGTCTCCACTCCCAAATGTGCTACCTTGGGCGCTACTGTACTGACAATGCTCGACAGGATGGCGGAATGCAATGTTGGCTTTGGGGTCCTCCTCTTCCTGCCGCACATCAGGCGCTGTAGATGAAATCTTACCCAATAGGAAATATGGCTTATACAATATCCAAGTATAGATGCTTCAACGAAGTTTCAGCTGGGCGTTTAGCATGCATATACCCATGAGGACAACGTACCATGTTCATTCGGAACCCCCGAACTCCTGATCCTTCCTGCAGATTCCCCGCCATCGAAATGTAACCATGGCCCCTGGACACTAATAATACCCAATAGAAAATATGTCTCATACAGATTAACCATATATAGATGCTCAAAAGCAGTTCAGCTGGGAGCTGAGCACCAAGATGCATATACCCATGAGGACAACTCACCAACCATATCCATTCGGAACCCCCGATGAACCCCTGAATATCTTGATCCTTCCTGCAGATTCCCCGCTATTGAAATGTAACGATAGCCTCCTGGCACCGGGGCCAGAGAATATTTCCGGCGAACGGGGTTGGCAGAATCGGATGCCTACATTGTGCGTGTCAATTTGGAATACGACAGGACAGAGCATGTGGTTGACAAACAATGTTTCTTGCCCAGTGGGAAGTTTAAAAATATGATGAATATATAAGGATATGTAGTTTGGGATATGCTTCCATCACACTCATCCTCAGGCTCTTCTTTTCCCCCACATTCCAAAAATTGTTTCAAGGAAGAAAAGAAAGAAATGTCCAGCCAACCTCCTTTTTACTCGCAGGGCTTCAATTTTGAAAGCTTCCTCCAGAAAGGAGTGGACCCTCGCACTGGACAATACTCGTGCTCGGTCGACATCTATGAAGCACCGGCCCAGACGCGCAATTGCCCCGAATTCAAGCTCACGCTGAGCTATCATGCTCTCAACACCCAGGACGTCGGCCTCGGCGCCGGCTGGTCCTTTAATCTCTCCTCGTATGAGCACCGGCAACGGAAGACTCTGATGCTCTCGACAGGGGAGAACTACCAGGTCACCGAGACAGCCAGCGTTTTCCTTGTCAAAGAACAAAAACTCAAAAGTTTCCAGGCCAGGAAGATCGAGTCGGGCTATGAGGTGGTCTACAAGTCAGGCCAGATGGAAATTCTGTCCAATGCGAACGACACGTATGATCGATCCGTCCCGATTGCGCTCTACGGCTCCAATGGTCGCTCCCTGCGGTTCATCTGGGAACGATCGGGTTCACAGCCCCGGCTCAGCAAGATCCAGGATGGTGATGACGATCTACTGGAGGTGAAGTACGAAACCTCTCGAGTAGTGATCACACAGAACCCCGGCACCCCGGAAGCCAGCACCTTCACCCTCGTTCAAAGGAGCAAACAGCTGGTGGAAATCCAGTTGCCAGTGAGCGAGACGCCACCTTGGGAGTTCTCGTACACGACTTTGGGCCAGTTTACCGGCCTCTCGCGGGTGAAAAGTCCCATAGGATTGATTGAAGAAATCAACTATAAACGGGACGGACATCGCATGCCAGCCCGGGCGCCGTATGAGGCGATCCCTCATGTGATTTCGCATGTCGTGCGGCCGGGCCGCCAGCAGCCCGCGATCAGAACGTCATATAGTTACTCCTCGTATAACTTTCTCGGGTACAATGGCGGCCGGGATTGGAGTGATATCGGAGATAATCTGTATCAAATGCGCTCGGAATATCAGTATACCTCAACGGTGGAGGTCGAAGGTGGAATGAAAACGACGTATGAGTACAACAAATTCCATCTTCCCGTCGTGACTCGGCAGCAGCAGGGCACAAAGAAGACCACGCAGACCATCGAATACTATGCGTCTCCCCTTACTTCATTCGATAACCAGCCTGCGCAATACCAGCTGCCAAAAACCGTGACGATAGCCTATGCAGACAGCCAGAGTCAGGCGGAGCGGACGGAAATTACTAGATATGTGTTTGATGAATGGGGGAATCCGACGCAGGAAGTCAGACCCAACGACGTGACAACTGATCGCACCTACTATCCGCCAGAAGGGGAAAGGCTGTCTGGAGCTGGGCAGGTGCTGTGCCCCGCGGATCCTCACGGCTTTCAGCGCTACCTGAAGACTGAAACGCTGACACCCACGACAACCCCGTTCCCCACACCCACCCGGAGTGAGCGCTTTACATATCATGAGCTTCCGACAGCAACTGGTGCCCTGACGAAGACGTTTGTCGCTGTCAAGGACCGCGTCACCCACGCGGGAGACCAGTTACTGAGCAGCGCAGAGTTCGCATATGTCAACCAGCCGGGGTCGAGGGACCATGGGCGCATCCAACAGGAGACCACATGGGTATCTCGAAATTACGCTACAGTACAGGCATCCGTCTATCAGTATCCAAGCAGCGTCGAATTCAAGCGGGCTCTGACCACTACCACCTTCGATGGCGTTATCGTCAGGGACGAGACAACCTTTTCTCTGTGCTCCGGATTACCCGTGCTCCAGACAGATGATGACGGTGTGCAGGATCGCTTCCAGTATGACAGACTCGGCCGGATGATCAAAGCCACGACAGCACTGGGCACCCGGTATGAAGCAACGCGCCAGAATGAGTACTCCATCAATGCGGACGGAACCGGCTGGCTGTTGTCAATGACCGATGCCAAGGGCGTCCAATCGCGATATATTACCGACGGTCTGGAACGGATATGCCAGGTGGAAAAACAGGACGATGGCGGCACCTTCCGCCTGGTACAGGAGCGGAGCTATAATGCCCAGGGCCAGTGTAGCAAAACGGCCGAGATTGATTGGCTGACCACGAAGGACACTCTGGTGGAACAACGTAGTAGCCAGGAACTGGAATACGATGACTGGGGCCAGGTCTGGAGAACAACAGACAGCAGTGGCCTGATCACAGTCGTGCTCACAGATCCGATCAGCTTGACCCGGACAGAAAAGATCGAGGGTGAAGGACAAACAGTCACCCAGTTAAACGTTTCCCGCGCTCCAACCCGGACTACGCTGTTGCGAAAAGATGGAACCCAGTACAGCAAGGTCGACTACCGCTACGATGGACTTGGTCGCCTGGTGGAGAAGGAAGATGTCTTGGGCCGCAAGACGCTGTACGAATCCGATGCTTTTGACCGCGTCACGAAGACCACTTGGCCGGGTGGCCGGGTGGCCAACGTCGAATATGCGGTCCAGAGTGCCGCCATGTTACCTACCGCGGTCCAAGTCAATGGCGTCGCTCTGGCGCAGCAATCCCTGGATGGGCTGGATCGTGTCACGGAGAGAACCATCGGCGAGCGAACCACGAAGCAAATGTATCAGCGCAGCATTCCACAACCAGCACAAATTACAACGCAAAAGGGCCATGAATCCAATCTGACCTACGAGCCGGGCTTGAGCCATGCAGTCACAGAAGTGACTGGCCCGGACGTTGAAGATGCGTACGGTTATGACCCACAGAGTGGGCTTCCAACACGGCTCAAGTCCTCTTACAGTACCCGGGACCTCCAATATTCTCCATCAGGGCACCTGAGCAACGAAATGATTCGGATCTCCCAAGGCGCAGGGTTCTCTGCACAGTCGACTTACTCGATGGCCGGGAAGTTGCTCGGTTACACGGATGTGCACGGACAAGAATATCAGGCCGAATATGATGCTGCTGGTCGAATGAAATCGATGAGCCTGGAGAAACTAAAAGAGGAGACACTGAAAGTCTCCTTCTCGTACGACAATTCAAGCCGTCTATCACACACAGAAGTGCAGGACAAAGCACGCAATGTTAGCCTAGCCTCCAGGCTCTCCTACGATGACTTCGGCCGGGAGGTCGAGCGGACTGTTTTCCAAGGGACCAAAAAGCTCTACCAGCTAACCCAATCGTACGGTGAGACAGGGCTAGTCGCTTCGCGCCACCTGGAAGACGGAGATGGCAAGCTTTTACGCGATGAGGTCTTCGTGTACGATGGCCACAATCATCTTGTTGAGTACAATTGCGAGGGGAGCCAGCTGCCTTCGCTTGAGCAGGGCCGTCTTCGAAGCCAACACTTCAACTTTGACGAATACGACAATCTAGTGGAAGTGAAAACGCGCTTTGAGGATGGGAGTGAAAATATTGCGCGCCATTCGCACAGCGCAGCGGATCCAACCCAGCTCATCCGGATTACCAACACCCACCCGGATTTTAGGGCTCAAATCGACCTGGAGTATGATGCCAACGGCTGCCTGACCCGAGACGAGCAAGGTCGCACCCTAGAATACGACAGCGTGAACCGCTTGCAGGCAATCCGAGATGCAAATGGTGCGGTCGTCAGCCAGTACCGCTACGACGCGTCTGGAAGGTTGATCTGTCAGATGATGCCCGAACAGCCAGACACCTATCTCTTTTACCGAGAGGACAAACTCATCGCCACGAAGGCAGGAGATCGCCAGGTGAGCTATATATCGGATGGCAATGAATACTGGGGGCAGTCCATCCAAGAGGGTGCAACCACACAAACTCAACTGTGGGCTTCTGACGGCCACCAATCCGTTCTTACCTGGTTGGATGCCCACCAGCCTGGTCAGATTCACCATCAGCAGTACACGCCACATGGCCACAGCGCCGCAGGGTCATCGCCCTCTATTGCCTTCAATGGACAGTGGCGTGATCCTGTGACCGGATGGTACCACTTGGGCAACGGGTACCGCGTGTACAACCCAGTCCTGATGCGGTTCCTTACGCCGGATTCATGGAGCCCCTTTACAACGG